TTTGGCTAGAGAGAAAAAGTTTTGTTTGGGCTTTTTAGTCTGTGCACATTGGTGTTTGCTGGTTGCTGGCTTCTTCAGCACCCAGTATGGGATTTATAAGGCAAAAAGAAAAGCCAGGGAACTCTCTGCCATGTCATTCCTCAGGTCCCAGGGTTTCTACCTGGTTTATCTCTACCTATCAGAGTCTTCTTCCGTGTTTTGCATTCATAAGGTCCAAAAAATAACACAAGTGGGGGGCTTTAAAAAAACGGAAATGTATTTTTTCACAGTTCTGGAGGATAAAAGTCCAAATCAGGATCTCAGTCATGTCAATTCCGTCTCTAAGTCTCTCTCCTAGTTTTTGGTATCAGCTGAAAATCTTTCAGGGTTGGTTTGTTTTTTTGCTTGTAGAGGGTTTCTTATATGGCCTCTGTTTTCTGCCTGTGTTTGTGTCTATTCTGCTCTTTTTACAAGACACCATTCTTTATGACCTCATTAACATAACAAAAGAAAATCCTTATTTCCAAAGACAGTCATATTTACAGGTACTGGGGTTAGGATTTCCATATCTCTTTTTAGAGAATACAATTCAATCCATAACTGCAGTCTAATTTCATCATATTTCTATGATGGACAATACTCAAAGCACTTAAAGTTTTTTTCAGTTGTTGCAACTTCTGGGTAGTTTAATGTTAAATAATTAAAACCCTACAGATTGCTTTGCTAAGGGTACGCTTAAAGAAATTTTAAGAATTTTAAGGGTACTCTTTAGGGCAGACAGGAAGGAATATTAAACAGAGGGAAGAGTCTTTAAACAATCTTAAGCAAGAACTTTTGCAGGGATGAAAGTCTGGCTTGGCCCCAGATGGTGGTGACAGGTAATGAATACACAAGTATAAATTGGCTAAACTTAAAGAATGGTTTACTACTGAAAACTGAAACAAGTGACCTACAAAGTCCCTCCCAGCTCAATGATTTGATTATTGTACTATGACAAGATTCTTATTTCATTTAAAATAAAATCATTTCAGTAAAGGTCAATAGAATGCCTTCTACATGTTGTCTCTCCCCTTTCCCTTCTAAATTCAAGGTTAGGTTTTTAATGGTTTGTCTCCCTAGTTTATAAAAATAACTAACCTCGTTATATAAAACAGAGAAAAATATATTTTGGAGTATTTTCTCTGTATATATATTAATATCTACCCTCTGATGTTTAAGATTTTATTATGAACGTTTCCCAAAGACCTGACAAATTCTCAAAACACATGTTCTAAGAAGGCATAATATTCTATTCAATGGCTATTAAACAATTAAATTAGTCCTGTATTGTTGCAAATTGTCTTTCACAACATTACCACTATTTTAAATAATACTTAGTCATGTTTCTCATAGAGAAAAATTGACCACATTTTTCTTCATTACATTCATAGGATAAAGTCCTAAAACGAAAGGGTATGAACAATCTAAAGTACATACACACATTAAAATCAAATAATCAAATTACTTTCTGGAAGTATTAATCAATTTATATTCCCATCAGCATTACCTGAATGCCCATTTCATCACACTCCTCTAAACACAGATTA